CCCCCACCCATAGCCCCTATACCACCCCTATACCCCACCCATCCCCAAAGGTTTCTCAGCGGATTTGGACTGTACTCAGCAAGCGCAGTACAGTCCCCAACTTAGATTTCAAAAACAATCAGTGGATGGCTGTGTTTTCTGACTGGTCGGGCCTACTGGTCGGCTGCAAAACGGTCAGCGGTCTGTGTCGACGGTCGGCAGGTATGCCACCCTGCTCAACACCATACTGAGCAGGAGGGGCAGAGATTTCTTCCACGATAGGATGACATCTATGAACCTATATGTGAATACCGTATGCTCGAGCTCCCTGTAGATCCCGCTCGCAAAGTTCATCGATGAACCGTGCCTTTTCCAAATAGTGAAAGGTATTGGCAATTTATGGTCCAGCGTTAGTGCCCATGGCGATACCGGCGACCTGATGGCACACTAACAATTATCTCTATTTGCAACTGATGGCACAGATTGCCATCATTTCCAAATAGTCGTTAAGTGTTAGAGAGTACAAACCACAGATGCTGTTCTGTATCTGACACTGATAGAGATAAGTGTCAGAGCAATGCGAAGTAACCCACTTCCCTCGATGAGGACCTCCGACGGCCGTGTACATGTACATGTGTACTGGTCCCCTGCACTGTGGAATCAGTACCAAGGCATGATCATTCTCCCATGGTCGTGGATTCTGCCTTCTACTGGTTTCCTTTCCTGTGGAATCAGGGCCAAGGCATAGTCATTCATGAACACCATTCAGGACATTCTTAAGGATCCGTCGTGTGGCAGGTTCGTCTACATCGTGGTTCAATCCGCTGTGTGTGGCATAGAGCCTCGAAGGGCATGTGCAATCTGCTTGAGACGGAAGACGACCTCCTCAGCGCTTTGCGCAATCCAGCAGCATCGTATGTTGCTTTTGTAATGACCCGTCAAAACACAGACTGAGAACACTGCTGATTTCTGAAGTTCTGCCGATGGAATGGATGCCTTGCTGAAATCCCCGCATTCTGCTGTGTTTTCTAAGTCTGTCTGTGTGTGCGTGCTTGCTACCTGCATGCCTGTCTGAGTGCTTGTCGGTATGAGTGTGTGTGTGACCCGCAAGGGTACTTGCTTGTTTGGTAGGCCCGTAGGGCCGGTACTTGCCTGTGGCCGTGGCATTGAGGGTTGTAGCAGGGAAAAACACTCAAGTGGCGAAGCTAGCGGCCCTGAAGCCCTTGGGGTAGCGGAAAAACACTCAAGTAGGCCGGTAGGCCGATACTGCACCCCACTGCAGTTGGCGTGAGGGGGTACTGGAGGCCGAGCAGAAAAAGACAAAGTTGGCATTTTTAGAGTCCAGTAGCGGTAGGGTAGGTCTAGGCCGGTACCAGTCCAACCAGTCTGAGTCTAGAGCCTGTACGGGTAATATCAGGGTCTGCAATGATGTTTCCCTCCGAAACGGAGGAAGTACCGGTAGCTTGGAGAGGCCGAGCGGCCTGGAAGTCACCGCCCAGGAGGCAAGTAGGCCGCTATATCAAGAGGCAGGGCGGAGAGCCCAGCCTCATTCTTCAGTGTGCGAGTTGGGTGTCACGCTGCTGGAGTGCTGGCTGGAGTAGCGCTGGGCACTACAGCGCTGCTGGGAGGAAGAAGCCGGGAGCTTCCACCTTGGCTATGGTGGAGCTCTACCGGTAGGAGGAGGAGGGAGAAGGGGACCAAGGAGGAGAGTGTCGGGGTACTTACCGGCTATGTTAGACACCATCTTCATCTCCTTGCTAAGCGCTGCATCAGGAAGGCCCCAGTGGGGGTAGTGCCGCATCAAGTAAGCTCGGACAGAGTCAGGCATGGCGGTTGAGTGGGCAGTGGCATAGCTGCTGGGTGATGACCTTGAAGTAGGGCAGCGGCATAGCTGCTTTGGGTTGTCTTTTGTACAGGAGGCTGAAGCCTCCGTAGTCCGCCATAGCCTCGGCCTGTATGTGGAGGAAGAAGAAGGGCTGCCATGGCTATGGTGGACCTCACCTTGTGCCTGCAGTAGAAGTGGGATTCGGACATTGATTCTGGTTCAGCTGTTCAACATTATTATTGTTTATTTATTGTTTGAATAGGAGAGGAGGAGATAAAGAGGAGGAGGTTGTTGAGCGAAGAAGAAGAGCTTTGTCTTTGGTCTATGCTGGAGTACATCATCTCTTTCTTCTTGCTTGATTCTTCTTCTTCTTCTTTCCCTCTCTCTCCTCTCAAGTTCTTCATTTCTTTTGCAATTGGATGGCATTGGGCTCAAGTTCATTCATTTCTTTTCGCAATTGGACAACATTGTACTTTCTGATGATTGTGGACTTCGAAATTGGCCAGGATCGTAACACTTTCTTCATAAAGCTCGTTATCCATACTGCACAGTGTCCCACTGTGCCAATCACGCGCCTTTGAGGGCCTCGAAGGGCATGTGCATTCTGCTTGAGATGGAAGACGACCTCCTCAGGACCTTGCGCAATCCAGCAGCGTCGTATGTTGCTTTCTTCATAAAGCTCGTTATCCATACTGCACAGTTCCCAGTGTGCTGATCTCACCTTTGAGAGCCTAGCAGAGTGAGCGAGAGACCAGTGTTATACTTGCAAGATATTTACGATGGGGGCCGACTTCTTCAGGTTGGAGACTGAAGGGTGATGGGTCCTTGAACAAGGTGCAGATTGAGAAAGATTGTTTCGCTGAGTGCCCCCGAGGATTGGACGAAGAGCTGGTGGAGATTTGAGTACTTCGATGCAAAGTAGAGATAAGCAGCAGGGTGTCAGTGTGCCGATAGTTCGAGTGTGGGTAACCGTGTGTGTTTACGTACGCATGTAAGAGTGTGTGCATTTGGTGGGCGCATGCATGTCTAAGGAAAGGGTGGAGGAGGGAGAGGGCGTTGGGGGATGGGAGGGGTGAGAGGAGGAACTGAACCTGTGTGCAGATGCAGCCAAAGAAGCAACACAAACAAAAAGAAAAAGTTCATAGCTAGGCTACCAGCCGGGCCGCCCGGGTCACGCTGTTTTCCCAGGCGGACCGGCCGTGCAAGGACCCAGCAATAAAAAAAAAAAAAAAAAAAAAAATGTTATGCAGAAAAATGAGCTGAACAGCTTTCGCCTCAGGGTCGCATCGAAATTGTTTACCAAATTTTAAATTCAAAACAAAATTGAAAATCACTTTTTTTTTTTCTTTTATTTGTCTTTGGCCAGGCCGGCTAAGTGGTCCCTGGCCACACTGGTAGCCTAGGTTCATAGAACAAAATAAAAGAAATAATGGCCATGCACCTCAACTGTTGAAATACAGACCCAAGTTTGAATCCAGATGCAATCAGATGGGCAGAATGAAATAATCCTGAAAGGGCATGCTGCTGCATACATACCGGGTCTTCATAGTCGGGGCTAAGTCCCTTAGGCTTTGTATATCTGCGAACAAAAAAAATACAGCCCACCATGGCTATCACCATCAGGTCCAATGACATCTGACTGAAATTATAACCCCAGAAAGATACAAATAGCAGGCATCCATACAACAACAGGGAAGTAAAAATAATAATAATAATACAAATAAAAAATGATGCACCTGACTGCAATTATAACCCCAGCAAGATACAAATAGCAGGCATCCATACAACAACAGTGGGGTTAAAAAAAAAAAAAAAAAAAAAAAAAGAAGAAAAAATCGATGCATCTGACAGCAATTATTATAACCCCAGCAAGATACAAATAGCAGGCCTGTGTAGCATCGTGTTCGGGTTCGGTGACCGAACCCGAACGTTCGGGACCGAACGCGAACGAGCGCCGAAACTCTCCGAACGCGAACATAAAAAAAATATAATAATAATTAAAAAAAAAACGTTCTCCAAAAAATCTGAAAAAATATATGTTATGTAAAATAATAATACAAACAACTGTTGCCTTGGAGGTATGGTCAAATTCGTAACCAAACTCGAGTTAAAAATCAAAAACCATTTTCTTTTTTTTCTTTTTTTTCTTTTTTTTTGAATATGTTCGGCCGAACACGTTCGGGTGGTGTTCGGCCGAACACCCGAACATGTTCGGACGTTCAGAAAAGCTCCGAGCATGTTCGGTGTGCTACACAGTAGCAGGCATCCATACAACAACAGGAGGGTTAAGTATGCTTCCATCCTTGACGTCCGGACTATTTTAACTCGTCCAGTACATCCATACAGACGACGAGGATGGCTATCCCTCAGAATACACACATCATCAGACAGAAATGCCAGATAGCCCCACACCTCCTGCGGCGCGCTGCGCACTCAAGAGCTGAGATAGTCAGCTTGTCCCTCCTGGTTGGTGGGTGGGGAATGCCACCCATTGCCAGGGATTAGGCTCAAGCCTGAGGGGATGGGCTCAAGCCTAAGGGAATGGGCTCAAGCCGCTCAACCCATAACCTTTGGTGTAGGTTGCTGCTAGAGGGTAAATCAAGGTGTGCATCATTCCTACCGTCTTCACCCGAATAGAACGCCCGGTCATTATAACTGTATTTGGCACAACTTTCGGTCCAGATGCAGCGATAATGACCGGGCGTTCTATTCGGGTGAAGACGGTAGTTAGGTAGGTAGTGGGAGGTATACTGAGAGAAGAATATAGCTTAGTTTAATAAAAAAAAGGACTGCCCGATAAACCTGTAGGCAGAGAGGGAGACTGCCAATAATAATAGGCCCAGCTCCATGGATACTAGTATGTTCACGTCATGCTAAGCTGTCACGAACAAGCCAGTACAAAGATGACCAGGTTCATGCTTTCTTTGCACAAACATAGCACGAGTGCAGCCTGGCCGTTCCAAACTATCAGCTGGTAAAAATGCTTGGCAGTTCTTCAGCCATTCTGCCAAAATGTGTCTCGTCTCTAAGCTGTTTGGCTGGGTGCGCGGGCACTCAGCTTGTGCCCGGATACATGCCCGGGTGAGCGGCAGGGCATGAACCGAGGGCAGGACTCCCAAGCAGCCCCAGCGCCCAAAAAAACGGGAGAAACTCTTTTAAAAAAAATAAAAATTTTTAATCCAGAAAACAAATGCTGCGCAGAATTGCAATGCAAATGGAATTCGGGTTTAGGGTCACATCAGAATTCCTCACAGGATCTGAGCAAAGAAAAGAGAAAATGAAAACGAAAAACCAGAATCAGACTAAGTAAGGCACTTCCCTTCAAAGCCCTTTAGCCCCTTAAAAAAAACAAATTTATAACCCACCCCCTTGAGAGCCAACTCTCAAGAAAAGAAAGGAGCCCGGATTTGAGATCCTCGGTGCTTACGCGGAAAACCTCCACTCAAAAAAAACAAACAAAAAAAAACAGGGCTACTTTTTGCCTGCACTGGGTGCCCGGTGCAGGTGAGACCCCGGGGGTGCACTTGCCTGGCCTGCATGCCCGGTGCTGCACGGCTGGTCAAGCCAAGTAGCCTGGGATTTTTTTTTTCCGTTTTTTTAAATCCTTTTCCTCATCCTTTAAACCTTGCAAACAGCTTTCTTACTTGAGTCAGATGCTGAAAAGTCCCACGGGTTTTTCGATCAAAATAACCATTTTTTAATTTTGAATTTTAAAATTTTTAATGACAAAAAAGTTGAAAAAACAAGTCACTGTGAGTCTGTGACATCTGGTGCTTTTGCGACCGAAACATGACCACTTAAAGAAACGAAAAAAGAAATGCAAAAAACAACCCAAAAAAGAAAAGGAACATGATCATTGAAGAGTCAAAAACAAAAAACAACAAACAAAAAAACGAAGTTTTTCTTACTTACACTCTGACTAGATTCAGATACTCCCACACCTTCTCCAGAAGACCGTCCAAGTTCCATTCCATGTGTGCACTGCAAAGAAAACGAATTGTCAGAAAAAAATTCAAAAATTTTACCACAAATTTGAAATTTGAAATTTCCGAAACGTCACTAAGTACATTTTTTTTCATGGTCTGTCTCAACTTCGGTCGCCATTATTTTTTTAACTTTTTTTTTATACAGTTTTAGTACTGTTTTACTACTTGAGCTACACCAAATTCCCAAGCCACCCACCTCCGTTCGTTAGGCTAGGCACTCAAGTAGCACTCAGGAAGGTCTTGTGTTCAGCCCCTATTAACCGCCTTGGGCACCCCAACCCAGCCTCAACCTCCCTGCCCAAACACCCACACACAAATCTCTCTCTCTCTCTCTCTCTCTCTCTCTCTCTCTCTCTCTCTCTCTCTCTCTCTCTCTCTCTCTCTCTCTCTCTCTCTCTCTCTC